TGTGTGTGTGTGTGTGTGTTTGTGTATGTATAGGAGAAATAAATTTGTATGGAGAAGAGACAAAAGAAAAAACGATATGGATGCAACACGAAAATATATATAAACTGAATGCAGCTGTTTGGGTTATGCTGACGTATTTTATTTATTTATTTTATTTTATTTTATTTTATTTTATTTTGTTTTGTTTTGTTTTATTTTATTTGTTTTGTTTATTTATTTATTTATTTATTCAGTTGATGAATCTCCTGTTTCCCGCTAGTGGGGGCAGCTCCAGGGCCTGTATACACTAAACCCTAAACTAGGGTTTAGGGTTTAGGGTTTAGGGTTACCTGAAGCACATTCTAACTAAACCCTAAACTAGGGTTTAGGGTTTAAGGTTATCTAAAGCGCATTCTAAGTAAACCCTAAACTAGGGTTTAGGGTTTAGGGTTTAGGGTTTAGGGTTTACCTGAAGCACATTCTATAGTGGAGGCCAAACATATGGCCGATATCTGTGCTGTTTCCGTGGGAGAATATAATAAGCTGTTTGCTTCTGAGTCTTTCTGCTGTTGTATCTGCTGCAGCAGTTGCTGCTGCTGCTGTTGCTGCTGCTGCTGCTGCTGTAGCTGCTGCTGCTGCTGGTTCAGCAGCAGCTGGTGCAGCTGTAACAGCTGCAGCTGTACCTGCTGCTGCTGCTGCTGCTGCTGCTGCAGCTGCTGCTGCTGGTGCTGCTGGTGCTGCTGCTGGGGTTTCTGGTGCAGGTGTAGGTGCAGCAAGCAGCAGCACAGCAGCGAGCCTTTTCTTTCTCCCTCTGGGTATGCGGTGTATGATGACCTGCTCAGGCAAGCAGCTCTTCTGCAGCAGCTGCTGTATACTCTCCTGCCCCTCTCTCGGTGGCTGCCGCTGCTGCGTGTGTTCTCCCGCTGCAGCACGAAACCCTCTACCCATAGGCACTGCGTTTATAGTCTCCTGTATGTACAGCTCGCCCCCTTGGATTGAATAACCAGCAGGGAAAGGAGGATAGAAAGACAGCCGACGCACCACAGACGAACGACAGCCCCTGCATGCATGCACAGCAGCAGCAGCAGCAGCAGCAGCAGCAGCAGCAGCAGCAGAAGCAGCAGCAGCAGCAGCAGCAGAAGCAGCAGCAGCAGCAGCAGAAGCAGCAGTAGCAGCGGAAACAAGAATAACGGTAATAATAGGAGCAAAAGAAACTGCAACAACAGCAGCAATTGCAATAGATCAACGCATGCAGCTCCATAAGGACAAAAATAAATAATATAAATAAACAAATATATAATAAATAAAAAAAAAACAAAAAAATAAAACACTTACATGATGGATATACACCCGAATATACACATCGTAGCACACCGCGAAGCAGGCGATAGCGCCACCATTTCACACAACTCTTCATCTTCTGATTGCTCGTTAGAGGGGTCCAGTAGGGGCCCCCCAGCAGTACCCTGGGGGCCCCCGGGGCCCCCGGGGGCCCCCGGGGCCCCCGCATCTGTCTTCTGTGCCATCGTGGGCTTGTGCGTTGGCTATAGAAACAGAAAGAAGAGCAGAGAGCTGCTGGTGATGGTGGTGATGCTGGTTGGTGGTTTTGTATGAAACGGAATAAATATATGCTAGTGTTAGTATTTTTACTTTTGTATTTGTTTATTTTATTTTATTTGTTTGTTTG